CTGGTGGGGGGAATAGACAGAGTAGCTTTTATAGTAGTACTCCAGAGCTAACTAAAGAATACATGAGCCCTGTGGGCCATTGAAAGCAGCACAGCCAGGGAACTGCCTGACAGGGGCCTTTCAGTATTATGAGTGTCCACCATGCATGCCTAGCTGCTTAATCACAGTTAAATCATGTTTATATTCCAATATTAGTGAGGAACTATGCTACAGTCTGCTTTGCATGTCCACATGTAGAATAGCATATGGACAGTGCGTGTACCAGAACACGCCTCAGTGATGTCTTTCATGGAGCAGCAACACTGCACCAGAGGATTAGAACAGGCAAGATGGTGGCTCCACTTTGGTTTTATTTACAACCCGAGGATCAAGTAGATTTAACTAATACCTTGTTTCCACTGCGCATACTATACTGTACTGCTACATATGGGCCAACCAGATTTCATTCACAATGTCTTATCTCACAGCATGAGCAAGAGCTATAGGCTCTGTGAGGCTTTACTTAGAGTACAGTGTTGCTTTGGGCTAAACTGACAGCAGCTAACATGCTCACATTGACAATGCTAACGTACACAATGTGCAGCAGACGAATGCCATTCATTTTTGCAGGTATGTAAATGAGGGATTGAACTTAAAACTACAAATGTCGACCTGCTGGTTGCACCAGAGGAAAGGTCACGCGACCGTTAAAGTCATTAGGATTCAAAAACCTCATGGCAATGCATCCCACTATTGTTAAGATATTTCAGTCTAGACCAGTGTGGCGGACTGCCCGACACCGCTAGCATAGCTAAAAACGTATAACTTGTAGGATCACCAGAGTGGAGACAAATGGAAACTGTTGAACATCTCCCGGCTGAGGAGTCACCGTTTTATTACATGTCAGGAGAAATATGGCTCAACTGGGAGGGATGGTGGAAATCCTGCCGTGTGGCATGTAGACAGACTAACCTCTTGTGCCCCAGCAGAGTTTTTGCATATTGCTGTGCCAAGGTCAGGCTCAAGTAAGAGCAGGAAAACCCCATCTCCACCCTGCTACCTCATCACTGCCACCAGCCACACAGGAACACTGTGCACTCTGTGTAGCAGTGCAGCCAAATATAAAACCACTGGCAGAGATGCAGTATATATAATCAGAGACTCCTGTGTCTTTTTTCCATGTGGAATTTGGGATAATTTCACGTTTAAAAAAAAAGTGTCATTAACCACAGTTATTTGACCAAAAATAGAAAGCATGCATGAATAACTGGATCTACATGGCAGTGGAACTGTGCTGCCAGGTGGTGCCACTTATTTTTTTAGGACATACAGTAAAGGGCTTTACAGCCATCTCCCAGTACTAGAGGTACCCCCAGCATAACACAAAAGAGGTCCAGACAAAACGTCAAACCAACTGTAAAATATGTCATTAGGCCCTTTGTCTTTGAGAAATATTGACCCTGTTCCTCCCGGTGATTCAAATAGTTTTCGAATAGGTCTTGTACACTGACAAGATGGCCTTTTGTGAGGCCCAGCTGTGGGGTGGGGGCTGTGGGGGGTGGACACACAGAAGGCCTGGGCTGTTCTTTCTGAAGAAGACATGACTTGTAATGAGCTTGTCAGGGGCCATCTCTCCTTTGGATATGGCAGCCTGCATGACATGACCAAAGCAGAGTAATGAGGCTTCACAGAGAACACTGTGTACTCAATGACCACAAGACACCTCTTGGGAAAGTTGGTCTTTATTGTTAAGAGTCCGTTATACTCTTAACAGAGGGAATCAGAGGGAGAAACCAATTGGTGCTGAGAATTTCCCTCAGGAAGAATCAGAGGCAGCAGTTGGCTTTATGGTCTGCATTTGTTCCATTTGACTATAAAACTGAGTTTATCTGTACATCAGCATTACATGACTGCATTTTCCATACTGCAGGATAAGTATGTGTTGGAGAAAAGCCCCACCTCCCACACCAGGAGATCAGACAAATACTGTCTGGTAACCTTAGACCTCTAAACTGCTGTGGATTCCTCGCCATCAAACTCAGTGCAGCATAATGAGCGATTTAAATTCAGCGTGTTCTCCCATGTCCGCTACATCCTGGTGTCCCTCTACTGTGTTAGAAGAGACGAACTGTGTTTGAAAAGACACCTAAAATGAAACCACTTAGTCTCAACTGAAGAGACCCTTAACCGGGAACTTTTTAATACCTTTAAAGAGATAAATTTCCCAGTTACTCTGGATAATCCCCAGGTCTTGCTGTGGACAGCTTTTCTGCCATGAAAACCACTCACAGCGAGGCTTGTAAATGATCCTGAGTACATTGTTTCCTGAAAAACACAGTTTTTAAATGCTTTAAGTGCTGTAAATGAACTTTTATTCACCTCCATTGCACTGGAGTGGCATCAAAAGTCTCATTAGAAGAATTTTCAAAACCTAGGCAAAAAAAACCAAACCTGAAACTATTTTTATAGCGGAGGTAATCATTACTGCAGGGTGAAGTTCGCTTTGTGCTTGTAATGGGACTGATTTTTTTATGTACTGTAGACATTGCACAAGAAATACACTGTAGCTCAGGTTTCAGCTCCTCTTACACTCTGACAAATCACACACACAAGGGTTGCAAAAGCTGGGATGATGAGGCTTTGGGCGTTAGAGAAGTCAAGTGAGGACGCCTTGTCCTTAGCTCTTTGTTTAGTGTCTATAACAGTGTTTCCCCCCTCAATTAGATAGCGGTGTTTGGCTGGGACTGACTGGGCTCCCATCCATTCTCTCTTGACTCTGCTAGTAGGGGCTGAGGGGAAGCACACTGCCAGAGTCTGGCTCTATGAAAGCACTGCAAGCAGCCTGGCTGAACTCAGATGACCCACATTCTGGGACTATCCAATCAAATAAGCAGAGAGAGTCATTATTATCAGAATTTATGGGACACAAACCAATCGTGAAGCCAGACGCCGGAGCATATCCAAACAGAAAGGCAGGCGAAAGGAAACGCTTAATAGGCAAAGAGACAAGGGCTGGGCTAATATGGAGCAATAAAGCTGCACTAAAAACACATGGTTGGGGCTGCAGGGAAGTGCACTGTGTGCTGGAGGCTGGCACACTGAGAGCGCTGCTGCAAGTTTGGCTGAGACGAGGCAGCTGAACTGAGATGACTCACGTTTTGTGACCGTCCTCATTATCAAAAATTATAGGATACAAACCAATCACAAAGCCAGACACAGGAGTGTATCCCAAAAGAAAGGATAAGAGAAGAGACAAGAGCAGGGCTAATAGACTGTAATAAAGCTGCACTAAAACACAACTGTGCAGAGGACACACAGGCAGTTATTATCAGCATTATGGACCCCTGCTATATGTACATATGTCAAATCATTCTCTTAGCTTGTTCTTTGTGACAAACACTGGTTATACACCACAGCTGTCAGCACCAAGCTGCAGCTGATGGGTAAAAATGGACAAAAATACAAAATGCAGACACAGGATTAACCTCCATCTACAAGAAAAAGCACCATATATCAGGCCTATGGAGTCTTACAGGGTTACTTTCACTTTTAAAGTTAGGCTTTGTTATTTCAAAGGCATATGGTATCCATATGAAATTCTTGTATAGGATAATAAAGCTGGTGATATAAGGATACAGGTCAGTCAAAAAGCCAGAAAGGGGAGTGTAAGGAGGGAATAAAAGAAAGGTTTTATAGGCAATGAGACAAGAATTTACCTGTGTAAAAGAGGGTCACAGATGTTTAATATTTGAGACAACTAAGGGGTGAATTGTGCAAGAAGGTGTCTCACATATATACATACACACATATTTCTAGGGAATCTATGAGGCTCAAATATGTGTCAAGTTCATACAAGGCGCTTCTTACGTGATCCGGAGAGGTCTGTTTTGTTTCTGGTCTGTCAGGCATGATGTGTGTGTGCGTGTGTGCGTGTGTGCGTGCGTGTGTGCGTGTGTGTGTGAAGAATGGAGGATAGCGGTGAGAAGAGGGAGTGTGAGCTGCAGTCTACAGAGCAGAAGCTCCTCAGTCGAGGCTCAGCTAGCTGAGTCTGTTGCTGGCCAGATCAGCTGGCAGTCTGTCTAGTGGGGGTGTGGCACATCACAACAAAGGGCTCTGGGCAGACGGACGACTGCACAGCTCTTATCAACCCCCCAATTTGAGTCCATCTACATCTTTTGCCCCTCTCTCTGTAGCCTATCCTGCGGAATGCAAAGCGCAAATATGGAGGTATGGTCCTTCAGGAAGGTCAAACGTAACAGACTGCTGATCTGGAGCGCATTTGATAGCCTTTCTCTCTGCAGTGTGACGGTACACTCAAGTCTACTGGATTGAGCTTGAAAACTTTTTTTGTTTGTTTTTTTTTTTTGCATGCCCGCATTAGTGCACACTTGGTGGTATTCTGTGATGCGCACATCACATGTCGTCGAAGGGGTTTAAAAATGAAAAAAAAATTTTAAAAAATTCTCATGTTGCCATGAGACAAACCAAACTTTACTGGAATCAATGTGTGCAAAAAAGAAAGGTTCGAAATCTGATGTGTGTGATTTGTTCCTGCATTTGCACTGCAGTTTCGGTTTGTACACACTGTCCAATGCAGGGGGGTGGGTGGGGGGTGCAAGAGGAAAGCCGTGACAAAGCTCGGAGACTTGAGTGGGAGTGGCACTATTTTCGACCCCCCCCCCCCCCCCCCCCCGAAATTAAAAGGACATTTTGCAAAGTTCATGCAACTTAATGGAACAATGCAATTATTAAGCTATGAACCAAATCTGGTTTCGCTGCGCTGTCTGTGCTGGCTATTTCCATTTAGGGTGGATCCGTGAATATTTACACATATGACTCGATGAAACACAGCAGTCAGTCACCTTCCTCTGTACTAATATCGGTTTGAATGTAAGAGAAACCACACTTCTTTTTTTATCAGTGTTCTCAGTTTTAATAATCCCATCCGTTCTCATATAGGCAAAGGTAGCACAATAAGTCATGTTCACAGCAACAAACAATTTGCATCCAATGAAACTGACCTGTATGTGTCCTTAGATGCGCTTTGAGGTGGGATGATTTGCCATAAACTTTTTCACAACCTGAATAGTGGCATTTGTGCTTTTTCTGAGGTGATTCTTGCTCAGTTCGACCTCTCGATCTTTTGCCTCTTTGTTTGAGCGAAGGATCGGAGATGGTGGTAGGTGTGGCAGAGTTTCCATCATCTGTGAGGTTCGGCATGCTCTCATCCTTTATTTTTGCCTGCTCGGCAACATTGTTGGGAGTCTGCTGGTTAAAATCCGCCAGAATCCGCGCCACCACAAAAAGAGAGGAGTTGTCTTTCACCAAAGGCTCTTTGATTTCCTCTCCGTTCTTGGAGGAGGACGGGATTTCTGGTTTAATCTCCCTATTCCCTTTAGGAGCGTGAACAATTGCACGACTGGACATTGAAACAAGGCACTCTGCTGCAAAGTGATCCATTTTGTCTTTGAAACAGCCCCCTCTGCTTCTTAATGACATTCAAAAATAAAAATAAAATAAAATGATGGCGTGTGGGGAAAAAAAAGTACTTGTTCCGTGGTTCCCTTTGTGTGGTGGTGGTGGTGGTGAGGAAGAGGAGGAGGAGGAGGAGGTCGTTCTCATCAGAGAGAAGTGACTTTAGGATCTTACCCGGCTTTCCAATATCATCAACATCCTGTGAGAGAAACGCCTCGGACAAAAAAAAAATGCAGACAAGCCCCCTCAGATAGAGAGAGGGACAGAGAGAGAGAGAGAGAGAAAGAGAGAGAGAGAGAGAGAGAGAGAGAAGAAAAACAAGAAACCCAAAGTCTTTGTTTAGTGCAACGACGCTGGTAACAGGAACTCTAGAAACTTGGATGTGTTAACTCCCATCGCGGCTTCAAACACTCTCCAGCATAGTGAGTGTGTCTCCTGAGCGCCTGTTCCTGCTGGTTGTATCCTTGCTGGGGGCGTGTCGACCGGCAGCGCTCGGCAGCATCGTCAGAGTAGCCGCTCATTCATTGGGCATTGCGTGTCCCCAAATGCACCGAACAATACGAGTTTACTTGAAAGTTTCACCACAGGTTGCACACTGGTTATGCGTTGCAAAAACCCTCAGGAAGAAAACGTTCAATAGAATAGTAATATGATTTTTTTTTTTTTGTTTGTTTGTGTTTTGACGGTGGGTTGGTGGGTGGGTGGGATTATTCTGCAGCATCCTGTCCAAGCCTGCATGCATGTACACTGACAAGTACCATTTGAATTAAATCAATCAATCAATCAATCAAAATAAAATGAATTAAAATGAAATAAAGTAGAATAAAATAAAATAAAATTTAATTGAATTAAAAATAAGATTGGATACGATTGATTAGGGCTCAGACCATTGATTATTTTCACATTGTTCTGCTTATTATTAATTGATTGGAAGAGTGAGATTGTCTAATCTAATTTACCAGATTTTACCAACAGTCCAAACCATTTGATTTACAATGATATAAAACTGAGAAAAACAGCAAATCCTCACATTGAAAAAGAAGAAACAGGGATGCATATTCATTTCCCGTGATGCACTACCAGTAATTGATTAATCGAAAATATAGCCCACGTTTGCTCTCTAAGGATGTTAGTCTATGGGAAATCAGTGTGTAAATATTAAGCAGGATCAATTTCCTCTTTATGGACTAGACATGCAATATCTACCATGAAATAACCTGATGAGGTGACTCTCTGAAGCCATCATGCCACTGACTTCCCCATATACAAATGACCAATCACAAATGAGGAAACAATAACGAAAAAGAGCACAGAGGAACATTTATGGAAGGGAGTTGTCTAGTCTGCAAAATGGGGAGTGCAGTTCATCATCAAAAAGACGTCCCTGATTCTTCGAATGTTATTGTGTCACCTTCTTGGAGCAATCAGCACACTGTGGGGCCTCTGGCCAGCGAGGCGCTGCACCAGCAGTGAGCTCAACTGCTTCCAACTGCCAAATTATTGGCTTAGCCTGCTGAGATTCCACACAGGGAAAATAATTCTTCCTCACAGCCGCTCAAAGGCTTTTAATTACATTCTAGTCAAGGAAGGGATAGTGGTGTAAACATGACTGGCAATAATTGTTACAGTTGTTCAAATTCCTGTCTAACCTGTTCATTAAAGCTTCTTTTTAGTGGATTGCAGTCTTACCAGAGTGCACTGTGAGCTTTGTGAAGCATGATTATTTTTGAACGCACAAGTGCACATTTAAAGACAGAAATGGAAAAGTTGCATCATATTTGTACTGTGTGCCTGGCCAACTCAAAAATGGCATTCAGGAGCTGATATGTGTGAATGACAATGATCCATTTTCAAGTGTAATTTTCTGCTAAATGTGACATCAACAGCTTGTACGTTTTTCTTTTCTTTTTTCTTTTTTGTGGGGGGGGGGGGGGTGGGGGGGTGGGGTGGGCCGACTTATTTTCAGCAAACTAGCAATTTACCTCAAAACCCTCCTCCAAGCAGCTCTGTGGCCTCTGCCAACTGAAATCCAGCCAGCCACCACAGGCAATGTCTTCTTCAATTTATCCTCAGGCCAGAGACAAGTGACACCATTGTGGGGAGGAAAGAGTCAAGATACAAAGCTGTGCGATATGAAGGTTTTGTCATTATTAGACAGCTACTTATCTCATGGTGTGAGTTTTACAGCTAAGTCGGTCTGATCATATTTCCAGAAACCTGGATTTCAATTTTTAAAAAGTCAGTTTCTCATAGTTTTTAAAGTTTAGATTTTCAAAAACAGACATGCTCTAAAATAGCATGTCATCAGTTACAAAGTCCTGGCAGAAAACAAACCAGCTGATGCTATTGATTAGCAGCAAGGACACACTTAATGTCCCTGCTAACCTCATGCACCCAAATAAACCCCACTGTTCATATCTAAGATGTTTTCAGGGTGCATTTGTCTCAGATTAGGTACATAATAAAATGCTGCTTTGTACATAATGTTCTCAATGATCCGCATCTGCTACAATGCAGCTTTTTCATCCCTTATTTATCCAGCTTGAAGCCCAGTTAACAAAAAAAAAGTTGATTTAAACACATTTATTGAGAAAAAGAATAAACACACACTCCACTGATACAGGATTAGACCTGCTTCCCTGCAGCAGCTGATGCTCTCCTGTGAGAATGAATGCACACTTTCAGCACTGTGCACAAAAGCCCACACTAGAAAGTTCCCAGTGTTCAGTGTGAGCAAGGCGATGTGGCATTCAGAAGGCCATCTGGCTGTATTATTTTACATATTCTTTCACCACAAAAACATGGTGTTCTTGTGTTTCATGTGGTGCTTTGGCGATCTATTCTAACAAGAGCACGTCAAGAGGGTTTAGTTCCTCTTTCACAGGGTTATTTCCCAGAGCTGTGTAGAAACTGCAAGTGTTTATCAATTCCCACTGGGTGTCAAGCGCAAGAAGGCCAAAAGAGACAGTGAGGAAATCAGCTGCAGCTTATACAACTGAACCTCCACAAAGGTAACATGCAGCAGTAGTTATTATTTAAAAAAAAAAAAAAATCTCACTCAGGGGGAAACATTGAACCATCTCTCTCTGTAGCTGCAACAATCTGATGATTCAAGAGACCTTTTGTACATTCCCAAATCCCAGCACCACTCCCCCAGTGTGCAGAGTCCAAACAGCACAGTGTCTGGCACTGACATAAAGTTCTCAGGCGGGAACAGTGATTTGATTGGCCTCTTCACTTCTGTTTGTAATGGGAGAGATCCTCTTTAAGCACAGGACAGCCTGACCACTTTAACAATCTGGCTGGCCTGTCGTGTCAAGGTCGGGCTCTCAAGGCCCAGAAAAAAAACAAAGACCTACAAAAGCATGAAACACCACAAGTGGATTTAGATCGATGAGTTTTCTCATCTCTGCAGCAGGCGGTGATGTTCAATGGTGGACGCAGACCTCTGGCATACGACCTGAGTTTGATCTCAATGTTTGGGTAAAACATTGCGTCAGACACCAGGCTGTCATTAACTCTAGACAGAGCACTGTATTGTTGTTTTTTTCTACATCTTACCCAATGAATACACATACTCACAGGACGAGACGTCCTTTCATATTCATAACAAAATCCAAAGTTAAAAAAAGCATTTAGTCTATATTATAACAAGACTACAGCCATGGTAGCAGCTCTGTGAGGCTCAAGGATGTGTCTGTGGTGAGGCTTTGAGCACAGCGCTTTGAGCGACATGCTAACATGCTCATGCTGATGCAATGTTTACCAAGTACACCATCTAATTAGCAAATGTTAACATTTGCTAATTAGGGCTAAACACAAAGCTTAGCTTGATATAGTTTTGCAGGTATTTGATTTCATTTAAACCAAAGTATTGGAGAAAATAATATTTTGGCCTAATAATAACTCTTGATGAAAAGTTAAGGGATCATCACTAACATGACTTAAAAAGGCCCACTTTTATTGTTTTTCATTACAATAGAACTTTTCATGTAAACCTGATCATTTATCAACTCAGAAGTTTCCACTAGGTTTTTTTCTTTTTCTTTAATTCAGTGCTAAAGTTACCTGGGCACTCCAACTTGACAGCCTTCCCTGAAATGAAAATGATTCTGTTCTTATCAGAACAAGAAAAAGTAATAAAGCACTTAAGGGTGTTTTAGTGCGGAGCCAGTCTTTCTGGAAATGTCATGTGTCTTATCTGTAATCGACTCGAGAATAATACAGATTGAACTTGTGGTTTCAAGTGAATCAGAGACACACATTCACTCATAATTAGCTCTAAGTTATTGGATTGGAAACAATACAGAACATACAGTGCTGAAGTGTGGGTAGGCCTACTATGCCGTCTGTATTTTTTGTTGTTGTTGTTCTACAAAGCTTACTCATCCATAGTTACACACCAGCAGTTGGGCCTCATGACTAATGATGACAAAACAGGCCGTGATTTCACCTGTATAGAAAAAAAGAGGATTAGTCAGACAGAAGATGTTGTATCGGTGTTAAAGAGTAAACATGTTCAACAGCAGGTACTAAGTCTAATACCCACCCTCTGAGTCTCTCTGCAACAATGAACCACATGTCCTGGTGTTTAAATAAGCCACAGGTAAAATATTGTTCCTTGTTCCTTTTACTGAGGAGGGAGAAGAACAGCAGATTACATGAATGCAGTAATCATGTAAGGCCAAATGAGTCAGTCAGGTGGAACTGAGACGAGTAAACAAGTCCAAACTACGTGTTATTGTAACAAAGTGCAGCCTCCCTGCTGTCTAGCAGGATATACTGGTTACAGTGTTATTGGGTCCTTATCATCAAAACTCTACTGTCATGACATTACCATTAGACACACAGAGTGCAAACAGGAGACTGAACAAAGACTGCTGACTGTTCAGGACAAGAGTGAAAGCCAAATAATTACTTGGCACTTGTACAAATAAGATCACATGGGTTTTATTCAGACAGGAATCAGGATCAGATCACTCACAGGAAAAATACACCCCCTACAATGGCCTGGACATTCCCATTCTAGCTTGATTCCTACCAAAAAAAAAAAAAACAGTGCTTTTTGTCAATCAACTTATTCTCAAGTTTTAAAAGTCTTTCAGAAGTGTGTCAAGAGGAGCTTAAATTTTAAAGGAAAAGTTTGACATTTTGGAAATTGGATTTACTGCCTTTCTTTCTGAGTTCAGTGAGAAGATCATTACAATTCTTAATATAATGCTACAGTCAGCAGTCAGTTAGCCTAGTTTAGCACAAGGATTGGAAATAGGGGGAAACAGCAAGCCTGTCTCAGTCCAAGATTACAAAATCCACACTCAGTAAACCAAGCTCAGTAATTAACACATTATATATCTTGTTTATTCAACCTTGAACAAACAAACAATATAATGTTTTAATTAGCGAGCTTTAGAGTTGCTGGTGGCTGGATTTTGTTCACACAAAGCAGTTTCCCACTGCTTCAAGTCTTTATGCTAAGCTAGGCTAACTGTCTCCTGGCCTTGTGCAGATTTAACAAACAAACATGAAAATGGCATTGTACTTCTCATCTAACTCTAAGCGAGAAAGTGAAATAGCATGTTGAACTAGCATGGCTAACTCTAGTAGCTATGAGTAATGTTCATATCACTGTAACAAGGTCAAACAATCATATGTACAGGTCACAGATGTTTTATAAAAGCTGTGTGTAAACTGCCTGCATATTCAGGAATGTACATGCTTGTAAAACTGTTAACGTTGAGGAAACATATATAAGGAAACTATTATGTGCAATGGGGTAGCACGGACCTGCATAGGTATGTGCAGTAAAGATAGCATGCCAGGAAGTAGTCTGACACGTAACTCCTTGTAAAACCACAAACTGTCATATGTGTATGGATTAAACAAACAGTATAATGTTTTAATCATAAACTTTACGGGTGCTGTTAGGTGGGTTTTATTACCTTCAGGCGAAGCTATGTTACCTGTTTCCCTCTGCTTCAAGTGAGGTCGCAGTGATCTGCATAGGTATGTGCAGTTAAGATGGCATGCAGATTAACTCAAAGAAGGAGTCCAGGGCAGTTTGTATAGATGCTGTCATGCAGATGTTGTTCCTCAAAAACAACTAGTCAGTCGAGACTGGAAGGAAGATGAGGGAGTGCTGTAAAGTCTGACAGCACAAAGGAACACTCAAAGGTGCTCTGCAAGGCACCTTGCAGGACAGGGGTGGAGGCTGAAAGGGGGTCTCTGCATCAGTTCACAGAAGGGTTGGAGGTGTTGTTGAAGACAGAGTTCAATTTGGTCGTCATCCTCCCTCTGCCTATGCCTTCAGGCTGTCCATGTTCAGCCACACAACAGAGGCAGCCTTTCTCACCAGTATGTTAATCCTGCCTGCCTCCCCCGCCTTGGTGCTGCCTCCCCGGCACACCACTACAAAGAACAGAGTGCTGCCCAACACTCATTGATAGAACATGGTGAATTGTCTGTTGCATAATACGAGAGAAGAAGAGCCTCCTCAAGACAAGCACTCGTATCATATGACGTGAAAGTGACGACCGTCATGCGTGCACAGTGGAGTTCATAATCACAAGCTAAAATCCACGTCACTCACTTGACCCTAGGCTGACGCTGAACCATGACTATGTACTGCCATCATTGTCCCTTCACATCACAGCATGGTGGCTTTGTCCACTCCACACAATACAGCTCAAAAGAGCAAAGTGAAGCGGACACAGTTTTGTTTTTGCACCCATTTGCTGGTCAGTAGTGGCCCTATTCAGAATGCATTGATCAGTGCAGTAGCTGGATAGGGATGTGCCTCACAGGCAGTGGTGAGGGGAACTGCCTCTGAAATACACCATTCAGCTTGGCAGGGAGTCCGCAGGCGCTGCATTAACTCGCTGAGCTGATGGCCTAGAGATGAGGGTATCTTTTCTAAGGCCATTCAACAGAAGCACTTCCATAGCATGTCATCCACAAAGAATGAACCTGGCCCATGCTCGAGTCAATGCAAGACTGCACAGAACACTGCAACACAACACTGACTGACTTGATGTTAAAGATTAAAGGCCTGTAACTGATGATTATTTTCATCACTGATTAATCTGTGGGTTAAAAAGAAAAAGAAAGTAATTTCCCAGAGCAAAGCTACTGTCTTCAAATAGCCTGTTTTATCTGATCAATAGTCATATTCAATGCATTCAATACAAAACAAACAAAAGCAGCAAATCTACATTTCCTTTTTGCTTGAAAAGTGACAGAAATTATATGAATCAACTGAAATTATTTTGTGTTGATCGGCTCATTTGATTCAACTACTGTCATTTCTATAAACGTGTATTTGACACTGAGTGTGACTCTACAGTGGTTTATGTTTATAGATAGATTAGATATAGACTCTAATTAAACACTGGGTGACATAAATAAACAAATGCATACATGATTTTTTGTGAATTTCGGTCATTATCCCCTTTGCAAGTTCATTTTCTGGCTTGTGCAAATGTCTTGACATTTCTCCATCTTTCCTTTAATTTTGGTCGGTTTCAATTGTTATTGCATTATCCAACTTAACTTCTTTATGTATGGTTAAAGGCCTGTAATGTTGATAAAGTTGAGAATATGTATATATATATATATATATATCTATATATACTATATATATATATATAGTAAATTATATATGATGCTCAGATTAAAACTCTGTGTGGTGCAGAGAGAGTTCAAAGGGGAAAAAAGAGCGAGGCTGAATTTCAAAACACACGATTACCAAAGAGGTAGTCTTACACCACATGGCTGTTTTCACCGCTTCGACCGGAGTGTGCTCTAAAGTCACCGGGTTCACAAGTGGGCGAGGCTCCACACAGACTGTAGCGGTGCACAACCTCGGCTCGGTGCATGAACCAGGCTGACCGCGGGGATGCGCCCGGTGTGAGGGGAGGGGGGGCAGAGAGGGGGGGGGTAAGGAGTAAAAGAAATGAAAGGGGAGAAGTTGCTGCGTCTCCCTCCAAACTCCCACGGCGTGCTATTTCGTCGCACTCGCCATAAACGACACTGTCTACAGGGGACGCACGTTGTTTATCCTCGAATGACCCCAATGCTGAAGCGAGAACATCCCGTTCCTGGGATATTAATAGCTCTCCTTGCGTCACCAAACTGTGGCGGACCATTTTGCTAGACACGCAACGGAGCCACAAACTGTGCCAGCAACACATTCTCCTCCAAAGCAAACATGGCTATAAAACAGGTAGTCATCATTCTCCACCAGCTGTCTGCGGGTCCTTGCAGCCAATGTGATTACCACTTGTATGTGTTACACACGTTGTTACTAAGGTGGTGAGAGCTCACAGTAACTCAGCCAGTGCACATTGATCTGGCAGTTTAGTGTCAAACTGAAGGGCGAGGTATTTGTGTTTATGTAAATGAATCAGTCTCCCCGAAAAAAAATACAGTATAAAAATGTATACAAATTTCTACAGAGCAATTTTCCAGCCCAACAATCCAGCACAGTGTTGTGCCAGGAGGAGAGCCAATGTTGTTGATGAGCTGAAAGCCATAGCCTACAATGTACAATAAGCCATATGTTAACTCAATCCCTTCCCCCCCCAATCCTGGAGCCAAGTGAGGCTGGAGCTACAGAGCCTGGCCTGCATAGCTCCAACTGGAGGGAGGGAGGGAGGGAGGGAGGGACGGAGGGGAGAGAGGTGGGAGGAGAGTTTCTGCCGCTATGTTCTCTGGGAGTCTCCTATCTGGAGGATCTATGGGCAGGCTGATTTTGAGGGCTGACATGGCGATGTTGTATGTAGGTCAGCAACAGTGAAAACAACTTAGGCAGAGACATGCCCAAAAACACACTGGAAGAAAAGTGTTTGTGCGCACTGCCACAGCCTACTGTAAATCTTATATATATATATATATAGGCTGACAGCCTGGGACTGTGCCTCACCCAGTCTGTGCAAGCAGTCATATGGGTGTCTCTTGTGTTAAGCCTGACGTTTTCCAGTTTCATCCCTTCCATAATGTGACGGCATAGCACCCACCACACCTGCATCCACAAACACAAGAGTTGAGGCGTTCACCTCTGGACGATTTATGTTTTCAGATGCCAAATAAAACATCCTGTGGAATTACTAAAAGTATGCTGATGTGTGTGTTGCATAAGCTGTGTGTGTAGAAAAATTAATACAGCTGAAATACTGTATCACACTCCAGTGGGATGAGTTTCTTCAACTGCCATAAAAACATTTAAACTTTGCAAGTTTTGAGTGAGAACATTTAGGTCTCTTCAGCCATGTTGACTTAGAATTTGAGCTTTGCGGGTTCATTCTTGACCTTGGAAACAAAAACAAACACAATCTGTGGATGAAGACCATGTGATACAGTCGAAAGTAAATCACCCTTGAGTCAAATTTGTTTTGTCTCCTGCTCTTTCCGAGCTTGAGAATGAACTGAGCTTACTCGAGTAAAGAACTGTCCTGAGCTGAGTTTCAGCTTAAAAACAGGGAACTGCTGATTTTGAGGGAACAATCATAAATAAATAAATCTCTCTCATTAAGTTTTAGGTGCTTCACGTGTTTGTTCACGAGTTTCTGTGTCACGTCTGCTTTGTCTCAGTCAAACCCTTCCTTCCTGTGTGGGTGTGAGAAAACAGTTTGTTTTTAAGGGAAATGATTTGATTTGCGCAGACTTTAAGAAAGACATAGACTTCATGTACATGGTGCTCAACATGAGAGCAGAATGATGCTTGTATTAAAAGCACATGGATCCACAACATGTGCCTGAATGATAGTGGATGGAGTGTGGCAAGGTTGACAAGGTTAATGAACACCAAGAGGACATGGCTTCGGGTGATTCAATAGTCAGCTGCATTATTTTATTAACTGCATTTCACATCCTTGAATTTCATTTCACATTTATAGCTATTACATAGCTGAAGAGGTTTTTCTTGACAATATGTCTCTAGAATGAAGACCCCACAGTACAGACTGACTAGATTCAATCATTTCAGTGTTTAGCCAGGTCTTTAAAGATTTGTCTGCTCCCTCAGCCCCAACCGATTACCTTACTGCTGTTTGCTTAGTCTCCCACCACCATCTGTGTTTCAGATCATCCACGGCAGTTCTAATTACAGTCACAGGCAAGAGCCCATAGATAATGACAATGCTGCTATGATCAGCAGGATTAGACAGGTGCTTGTCGACTTGCTTTGACTCGGGCTTTTATGGTCTGTAACAGACCCTGGACAATCAATGGGGAGATGAGAATCTCACTTACTCTTTGTCTCCTGCTGACACACACTAACAGTGCAATTTCCTTTAACAGAGGTGTGTTTCTTTTCCACATCACACTATAGCTGCATCTTGTCACAGAAACATACACTACTGGTTAAAAGTTTTAAAACACTCACATTTTTCCAGTTTTCATTGAAATGTAAGCAGTGGAAAACTGCCTTTTTAGGAGATTAAGTTAAGAAGTTGGTTAACATAGTGTTCCTGCAGCAATGGAAGTAAATGAGGCCTTGAAAGTTAATGCAAACAATTCCTACAGGTGCTGCGACTTGTTGACTTGCAAACTCTGTCTGTATAGAGGCTGTGTTGGAACAAACTGTCACTAAACACACTGTCATGCATCATTAGGACAATACTGTGCAGCAGGAAGTAGTATTATATATTGATATCAGAAGGGTGAGAAAAAGGCCAGTAACATAGGAAGACTGGCTGGTCAGAGGTTCACCCTACAGCAAAATAATCACCGAGGAAAAGAACAAGGTATAGCAAGGAAGGTGGCTTCAAATAATGGAAGGCCAGCTGAGTCTCCAGAATTAAACCAGCTGCTGAATGAGTCAAACATTTAGATCAAATTTAGGATTTTAGATTCCATGATAATATTTATCATTTATTTGTTTTAAGTTTTAATGTCAGAAACAGTGAAACATTATACAGTTTAAATCTCAGTAACAGCTGGAAAAATTGAGGCGTTCTAAAACTATTATTATCATGTTTACACCGGGTGTGTGATAATTATTGTTCCAATTTAATTATATTTAATGATAGCAGTTTTGAAATTGCCTATAATGTATTCACACACTTCATGTTGGTCTTCCAAGTGGATCAAAATGGAGTCTGTTAATGTCACCCAAAAGAGTATTTGTCAGTCGATGTTATTATTATATGAGACCAATTTTAACTGTTGAAAACACTTTTACACTGATTCAGCACACTGACCCACACCCATGTGCGTTGGTGCCTCCATATATTTAGCATATACACGTCTGCACTGACTTTATGTTTTAGTCACTTGAGACTGGAACAGTCTGGAATAGTCCGAGCTCATGACTTTCTCATGCCACATAATACTGACTTTTATGTATGACCCAATCATAGAAACATCTCCGGGGATTATCCAGTGCTAGCATAGCATTAACATCAGCCTGTGGCTCAGATGAAGCACTGAAAATATTGACTGTTATTGGCTCGTAATACTCAGTAAT